TTGGAGCCCCCCAGTACACATGGGCCCCCCGTACACATGGCCGCCCCGTACACATGGGCCCCCCAGTACACATGGGCCCCCCGTACGCATGGGCCCCCCAGTACACATGGGCCCCCCGTACACATGGGCCCCCCGTACACATCGGGCCCCCGTACACATGGGCCCCCCGTACACATGGCCCCCCCGTACACATGGGCCCCCCGTACACATGGCCCCCCCGTACACATGGGCCCCCCGTACACATGGCCCCCCCGTACACATGGGCCCCCCCGTACACATGGCCCCCCGTACACATGGGCCCCCCCGTACACATGGCCCCCCCGTACACATGGGCCCCCCACATTGTTTTCACAGCTGCCGTGTTTCCATCGTCTGGGTGAAGCATAAATTGATCAGCCAGCCCCTAGGGATGAATATCTCACTTGCTGCTGTTTTTTGTTACGAGTGAGTAGATTTGTGGGCCAGCCCTACCTACAGAAATGATGGCTAAAATGTGCGGATTTAATTTTAACAGAAACAGAGACTCTTCCTTCCCGAGAGGCTGCGCCTGCTCACGCTCCACCCCTGCCAAGCGCTGCTGCCGTCCTGCGTCTTCCCAGCGCTGGACATTCTCAGCCTCACTTTTTAAAATAACTCACTTATTATTTGCATTTCTTTAATTAGAAGTAACACGGATATTCTTCACTGCATCTTCTGGAGACCTGCATTCTTCCCGATGGGTTTCCTATTTGCCTCACTCGCCTTTCTTTCATTGGCTGGAATGAATCACTCACGAGCTCTTTATAAATTAAGAAAACTTACTTGTGTTGCAAACAGCTTCTTCCACACATCGGCTGACTTCTGACTTCATGGTATCTTCCAAAGGGAAGATTTCCTATTTTCATACAGAGAAGTGTCAGAGCTTTGGGAATGGTTCCCCCTTAAGACGTAGTCTTTTGAGGCTCACGGAATTTTCGGCTCCATCTTTCAGTCCCCTCTCCTGGGAATGGCTCCTCGCCCGGCTTCGCCCCACCCCGCCCTCTGGCCAGAGCGCCTGCCCCTGCCCCGAAGCTGCAGCCACAGCCGCACAGCAGCCCACTGCCCTCGCGGCTCCTGAGCGGCTCCTGTGCGCCCGGTGACATGCAAGGCGCCAAGAATGACAGTAAACTAACTCTTCTTTCACAAAACTCCGTCCATCAGAGGAGACAGTGGAAGCACACAAGTAACTGAGAGCCCAAGTGTAATTCAGACGGTGCAAGAAACACAAACACGGGGCACAGGCGGGAGGGGTGAGGTGGGCGTCTGGGGTCTGCAGGCACAAACTGCTCCGTGTGAAATGCGCAGCAAGGTCCTGCTGTGCAGCACGGGAGCCACACTCGAGGTCGTGCAGTGACCGACAGCGGAAAGGGATATATATAAAATGGCTAACCGCATCAGCCCTTCAGTGCCTGGTCTGCCATTATTCCAACGGGACCGCTTGCATTAAGAAAGACGCTTTGATTCACACTAAGAAATTAAGCCTACTGACTGACGTTGAGCCACAGACACCCAAGATGCTCCCAGAGGCCCGAGTAGACGCATTTATCTACCAAGTCAGGAAGGCGCAGGTGCCGAAGTTCAACAGCCGCTGTGCAGACATTCAAGCGAGAGCACTGACTCGGGGCAGGCAAACACCGGCGTCACACTTCTCTCCAAACACGGCATCGGTCACTCCGAAACTGAGTCACACAGCACCCTCTCCTCTACGGCCCCCAGCGCGAGTGACCTTCCGGCCCCTGGTCACCCAGTGCTCTGGGATCGACGTCTTCCCACCGCCAGACACAGTCCGTCACCAGCGGTGAGCGTCCTCCCCTCCGCATCAGGAGCCCTCCCTCACCATCCAGGTGCAGACAGAACACTTTCGCTGAACCTGCCTCCAACCAGAAACATCGAAGACTGTAAGGATGGAAAAAAGGGGTTGAAAGATCATCCCCTCTAACTGTCTGTGTTAGATCGTAAACTCCTTTGAGGTTGAAAACCCGAACAGACTCCCGAGGACCAGCGTCCTTCCCGCAGGGCCCCTCTGCAAGGTGGGCAAGAACCAGGAGCTGCCGCCGGCTCCTGTACACCCACAGCCACCGCCTCTGCAGTCATTTCTCCCTCTTCTTAAAAAGAGGCTGCGGGCAAGTTTAAGCGCAGGAAAGGGTCACTTGCAAGGCTGCTGCGTTCACAGATTTACTGGCATCCTTGGAGGGCTCAGCCTCAGGACAGTCTGGACTGGATGTCCCAGATTTGCTCCACAGCCTCCTGCCTGGAGCCAAACGTTTAGAAATAGGAAACCACCTTAAAAAAAAAAATCTAAAGATAGAATTCTAAAAACAAACTCCTAAAAAATCTGCTTCTTAGTGGCATGAATTGTACATTTAAAGTAAATCTTGTCTTGAATGTTCTCATCACACAGACACACACACACACACACACACACACACACACAAAACGGTGACTGCTGTAACTCCTGGGGTGGTGGCTATGTTACTTAGCCTGGTGGCGGCAGTTATCTCACCATGTATGCGTGCATCAAAGGGTACACCTGAAAAATACGTGACTTTGAGTTGTCCAATATCCCTGGATTAAAGAAATAAAAATCAAAGTAAATTTCCTTTTTTCAACACACGTTTTTACGGATTAGCCACAGAACCTCGCAGCGCACCACGGGAAGAAGCGTGCGCCTGCGTGGACGGCGCATCTAAAGCATCTGGACGAGGAGAGAAAACGCGAACCACATGGCGCATCCCCGCTGTCGTCTGCAGAGCGCGTGCTGCCCACGTGCACGGCCGGGACGTGCCACTTACACAACACGGACAACTCCCAGAAGGATGCCCAAGGTAACCGTGACAACGCAGCCTCCCACACACCTGCTGTCACGGTTCCCCTCTCCTCCCTCCCCTGCCCCTAAAAATATATCTTGAAAGTTGTCAGAAAACAAGTTTTTCAGCCTGCGACTGGAAGTACAGCGATAGGTAATAGGTAATTAGAACTCGTGCAGAAGCCACGAAAATGACTCCTGCATTTTCCGGCACACGCTGCGGCCCAGCTCCCTGCTGATCCGTAGCCTGGACCACTCGCCTCTCTGGTCATTGTCCATCACCCGCGAGCTCCACCCAGAATGTCCAAACCGAGACCCAAGCCGTCAAGCACAAGATAAACGTGGGAACAACTCACCCCGTCGCCTTCAAAACCAAGGAGGTCGCTCTGTGTCACTTGAACCTCTTTCACCATCTCAGCTGGTTTCTGGGGAGAAAACACACGTTTCAGATTTAGCCGCAGTCACCCTGTGTCACCGTCTTGAGAGGAGCCAGGAGCACGAGAGCCGGGTGACGCTCGGGCCGCTTCTGTGGGCGGAGCTGAGAAGTCACCACGGCTCCCCACGGGGTTGCTTCAAATCCAGGATGCGTCTGCTCTGTGTTTTCACCTCTGGCTCCTGCAACGCGGTGCCAGCCTGTTACTAAAACTGCTGGAGAAATCTCTAGAAGATACTACAAATCCCTTCTGTGTAAAAAGGGACTTTCTGGTCGTGGCAGATGCCCCCAGCCCGCAGGTAGCTCTAAGTGCCTCGGCAGTCCTCCTCGCACCCTTGTGGACCCCAGCCTGCATCCTCTTTCTCCGCGTCCAAGCGACGCCGCCACAGCGGGGCTGGGCTCACTCCTCACGCGGCCGCGGGTGCTACTCTCCCTGGGGATTACTCCTCAGTTGTCATGATTCGTCAGCAAAAGGCAATAAGCCACCATCGCTGGTGCCCTGGAACCTCTCTCCATGCCTGGGGAAACTCATGTGTTTCTGTGCCCATAAAAAGGCTCCCATGGGGGCTCCTCCAATTACGTTTCTGTGTAAAGGGGAGCAGGGGGGCTGGTGAGGGCTTCCGCCCACATCACCCAGGACCCCAGACCCACGGAGACTCCGACTCCAAGTTTCCACGACCTCGGAGGCAGAGAAGGCACGGTGGCCAATGCCACGCTGGCTCTTGAGGCCTCTGCCTGGACGTGTCACTTACCTCCACTGATCCGTCGTCGGCAACAGCAGGTCACGGAGCCACAGCTGAGCTGTGGGTGGGGGCGCACGCCCTCACCGAGTGACCAGAACGCAAGTCAGTGACCCCCTAGTGTGCGGCACCTGAATTCCAGGACTGTGCAAACAAGCAGGTGACCGTTCAGTGCGGTCAACCCCATGCGCCTAGACCGCAGGTGTCACTGGGTCCTGAGGCTGTGCAGACACCTGCGGAGTCAGTCCCACGAGCCCAGACCCGAACACTCAGACCGTGACTGGGGGCCTTCCCTCCCTGTGGTTTACGCAGAGAAGCAATCACGGAGAATTCAGCCCCGTGGGGGCTGCCCAGAGCGCACTTGGAGAAGCGTTCAAAGTACGTTCTTCTGTGTGACTGAGACACGGTGCTGCGCTCCAGAAACAACACAACCTTGTGAACTGACTCTACTTCAACTGAAAACAATGCAAACCCCCCCAAAAAAAACAAAAAATCACCTTCTTTCACCGAAATATTGATGCGAGGCGACACTGACTCGCTCACCCAGCAGGCGTCACAGAGCACCTGCAGTGCGTGCACGCAGCCTTGGCCCTCGAGAAGTTGCCAGTCTCATGGGGAAGACAGACATTCATTAAATAACCACACAAGTAAGTCTAAAAGCACAACCGTGGCAGGTGCCGCACGAGAGACACATGGGCCTAAAAGAGAACAGGACAGGACTGCACGTGCACGGGAGAGCAGTCAACGTTTCCTCCAATGGGGCCATTAATTTGAAATACGAAGGATGAAAAGCCATCACTGCGTTAAGAGGAAAAGAAAGAATTTTCCAGGTGAAGGGAGCAGCACGTGGCAGCTCTGCTGCGGGAGGAAGCCCTGCGCTTTTAGGGACACGAGGGGCGATCGGAGAACAGAGTGACCGCGGCCATCCTGCCTGGAGACAGCGGGACTTAGGACTCTAGTGAAGGTGAGACGGACAGAGATTCCAGGCACGTTTGGGAGGTAAAACCAACAGAACATGGGACGACCTGGATGTGAAACAGCTGAAAAAGGTGAGTCTCAAGAACCTCCCGCAGGTGTCGTCTGTGATTTCCCGGACAGATGGGGTGTCACCCGTGCACTGAGATGGGACGCAGACCAGGCTCGTGGATGGTGTGGGAGGAGACAGGGCTCGTCCTCACCTGGCTGAGCTGGTATCTCACACCATCCAGCGGGCAGTGCAGACCCACAGACGTGCGTACGCGTCTGGAGCTCGGGAGAGAGAGCTCGTGCAGACTGAACCACGGTGACAAAGGACCTTCCCGGGGGAAAGGCTGGGAGCGAGAAGGAGCCCCAGCCACCACCGTCAAAGGATCAAGGCTCATAAAGCAGACAGTGCGCGCGGTCACCCTCGCAGGCCTCCACGCGAGCCACGCTCACGGGAACGGCGGAGGGCCAGCAGGTGGCTGTCCAGGGGATACGTTATCTGCTCCAACACCAAAGAGAAACAGAACACTGAAAGCAAATTATAACTTCTTAGACATGAAAACGCAGAAGGAGGCAGAGCAGCGCAGGCGGAGGAAGAGGTGACTGCAGAGGGACCACACCCCGTGCCGTGTGGGGACCAGCAGTAGCGCCGCTCCCAGTGCCAGGCCCCCCGAGTCCCGTCCCTGGCGTCCTCTCCCTTTCCCCTCCATCATACTTCCCACAACTTCGCCTTCTGTCCCATTCAGGGGCCACTCGGTTCAGGACAAACAGCGTCCAGGACTCAGGTGACCAAGAGCATGCGGTTCACTGACAGCGCGGCTTCTCTAACCCGGAGCCCGATCTGGATGCTCTCATGAGCCAAAGGTGGGCATCAGCGGAGTTCTACAAGGGTTCCCGAGAGTGGGCTTTTCTGGCCAGGAGCCCTGGAATGGAAGAAGGCAACTTCCAACCTACGCAAAAAAATGAGAGACTGTGGACATCACCCGCTAAGGCGTCAGGTGGTAGAACACCCAGTGACCCAAGTTGGAGGAGAGAAAGGGGGACACGCGCGAAGGGAGTACACATCACTCTGGGGGTAAATTAAAGAAAAAAGAGTCGGGAGACAGAGCTGCTGAAACAGGAGCATGTTAGGAGTCAGAGTGTGGGTCAAGATGCCCCGTCACCAGCCGTCCTGGACCGTCAGGGAGACTAACGCCCAGAGCAGCCGGTGACCCCTCTTAGCCGCTAAGCGCTGGACCCTCCCTGCCCCATTTCCTCGCTGTCCTCCCCTCTCCACACAGCCCCAGGGAGCTCTTGAACCGGCCTGGACGTCCTGGGGGGAAGTTCTAGGCACCGGAATGAAGGAAAGGTTAAGGAGGCCAGAGTGTCAGCCTCGCTCATCGTCACAAAAAAGATCGGACGTTACTCGGTGTCACCCGGCAGGAGCAAAGGACAGCCCACCTTCCTCACTGATGAAAACCTCGACTTCAACCTTCACTCAGCCGTGGGAGGGGAGTGGCGCAGGCGACGCTGCGTGGGAAGATCTGAGCATCGCCATTCTGTCATTCAAGCGATCATTAAGGGCCTCCTGCCTGCCAGGAGCTCTGTTAGCAACAAGGGCCACCCAAGCGAGCAAAGCAGACCACCCGCTCCTCACGGAGCCTCAGCCTAGGGGGACAAAGGGACAGTAATCACGTAACGACAAGGCTACATACACAGTCGCAAACCGTGAGGAGCCTTAAGAAGGGCCTGGCAGCAGAAGCGCCTCGGGGGAGAGGTGGGCGAGCAGGAAAACTCAGGCTCGGGGATCTGGAGGATGAGGAGCAGCTAGCTGGAGGGGGCACAGAACACTCTAGAAGCCAGGGAGAGCCTGGGGGAGGCGTCGCGGGTGAGGCGCAGGCAGGCAGGGCTGACGGAGTGGGAGTCAGGAGGAGGCGGGCACGGTCGTGCGCTGCCCGCTACCCACCTGGTCCTCAGGCACCTCCACGGTCATGTCCAGGTCCTCCTTGACTTCCGGTGCCCCTTGGGATTCCCCGCTGGGAGTCTGGGCTTTATACACGTCACCGTCTGCGGAAAAACAACACCGACAGGGTTTCCAGACTGATGTCCACTGCACCCTTCCTCACCCAAACCAAAGCTACAGCTCGACACCCTCAGCGCTTCTGGTGTCACACTGAGCGTCCTGGCCCAGGGACCGCGGACCCCACAGGCCCCTCACCTCCGTTTCCCCGTCACCCTTGGTTCTGCTCCAGCCGAGGTGCTGGGCTCAGCGGCCCTCGACGTCTGCACTGTCTGCTTACGTCCCTGTCTCCACAAAGGTCCCAGACTCCAGAGTCACGGTCACCCTTGTGTCCCCCCCACCGTGGGACTCAGGCCAGTGACAAAATGCAGTGAACGTTCCACAGGTGTGCGTGCGGTTCATTCAGTCAGAAATAAGCACAGAGCAGCTCACGAGACATCAACATCACGTTTTAAGGACACACAGATCTGTTAGCTCAAGACACATTCAAGCCCTGGGGCTAACGGCGTCCACCGAGGCACCTGGCCTGGCTGGCAGGTGAAATCACCGATCGGCATCACCACTGGAGGTGCTCGACGCCGTAAAATCCCAGGGTTCTTGAAAAGCACATCCTCACCCTGAGCAGAAGCAACAAGTGAGCAGAAGAAAAAGCAGCGGGCCAGGCCGGGCCTTCAGCGGCCAAACGGGGCCGACGCGGCCACTGACGAGCCCAGTGACCCCAGCGGGAAACTGTGACCACGGACCCACCCATTTCTCAGTCAGGAGTCCTGGGCCTCCCCACCCCTCGCAGGCCCATTCTCGCCCTTCCTGGCCCCCAGCCCCAGGAGAACCACCCCCAAGTCTTGGGCTGGAGGACGGGGGATGGGAGAGGTGGGGGGCAGGAAGGCGGCATCAAGAACCCACACATCCCGGGTGCCCCCGTGCCTTTGATGTTAACAGTCACGGCAGACCTCCCACAAGCCTGCGATGACCTGTCTGCAGGTAAGGAAGGTGCCCGGGTCACAGGCTCACGAGAGCCATGGCTGGAATTTGAGTCCCACCACGCTGTGTTTTTCCCAGAGCAGGGGGGCCCACTGTGCCTTCCCAAAATTTCCCAAGAAACTTTACGAGTGATTAAATGCTCTATCACTGCAACTATCTTCCAGAACTTCAGGCGGTGTTGGTCCAGCGGGCTCAGTGATGACCGCTGTGAGGCTGCATTAGAACAACACGACCCCTGTGCTCGCACGCCTGCCTGGCCCGCCAGGCCACACGCTCTGGGGCGGGGGTGGGAGGGCCGGACCACGTCTTAATACCCCGGGCCTGGCCTCGGGCCGGGTGCACAGCAGGACAATGCCCGTGTCACAGGACGGGGAGCACGGAGGGGAGAAGTGCGGGAAAAGCTTTAGGGGAACGTCCAGCTCTGAACCTGGAGCAAACAGAGGAGCAGAGGAAGCCAAGAGACGGGGCAAAGGGGTGAGGAACAGAGTCATATGCATGGTAAGGGGAGCTGGGAGGGGATGACGGTAAGAGAAATGACTTCCCAAACCGTCGCGGCTGCAGAGACGTCAGGGAGCCCTCCTCTCCGCCACCTTCCCCTCCTCCCCACGGCCAGCTGTGGGGCTTCACTCTCTTGAGTATCTGTCACACCTCCAGGCGAGACGGGTCACAGAGAGCACCTCCTGCAGAGCCTGGCACCCAGGCAGAGCTGCACCGCAGGCGGCGGTGGCGGCAGTGGTGGTGGCAGCGGCGGTGGCCAAGGAGTGTTAACAGCAGCACCAGGAGTAGTGGTGACAGCAGTGATGATGGCGGTGGTGACAGCAGTAGCAGTGACAGCAGTAAGAATAGGAGTGGGAGGAGGGGGAGGAGCAGTGTACCTTAAACTGTTTCGTTTTAAAATCACCTCTGAAGTTCACCCTTTCAAATGCCTCTCACGCTCAGGGAGCAAACCCAGACAACGCAGGTGCTTTTACGTCATCAGCTCAAAGGGGGCCGTGTTTGCCGGCTGGTTCCTGTGTCACTGGTCCTTAAGGAAAAGCAAGCCCGCCCTGGGGTCCGCAGAGTGGACAGGATTCCCTTTACCTCCTGCCTTTCCCTGGGGGGCTTCCTGGCAGGAGAACCTCTCGCCCTCAGCCCCGGAATGCCGCTTTTCCACCCCCTCCCCAGCCCTGCGCACCGAGCAACTGATGAGTAAATCAGACAGTCACGAGCCGGTTTTCAAGTCAGAGAGCTGCACGCCCTCCTGCGCGGCGTCAGGAATCCCGCATTACCTGCCCCGCTCCGCACTAGAGGTTCTGCCTTCGGTTTCTTCTTCTCCTCTTTGGCATAAAACACAGAATCCTGAGCTTTGGGTGGACTGCTGTCGTGTTTCTGGGGGTCTTTCGCTTTGGGATCCTCCTGCGGTGCAAACGAAGAAGAACAGGCACTTCACTATGCCCCGTACACACGGCACAGAGCACCGTTGGCGGACAGAGGCGCGCGGCGGGTCTTATGGGCTATTTTGAGAAGGACCAGGGATGGCACACGCTTCCCGGGCGGAACAGGGGGTGGGACTCAGGGGCCTCCCAGGCCTCCCCCTCCTTGCACCATCTGTACCACGCTGTCGCCTACATTCCTCTCTCTAAAGCGGCAGACACCTCTCCCTCCTCCCAGGGACACCGCGGGCAGTGCCTCCCCCAGAGGGAAGCCAATTCTCGTCCTAACTGCAGGTGGCACGTAGGGCCTGGCACACGGGGGGCCGCGTTAGAAGGGGGGCAAGCAGGTCTACAGAGGTCCCTGGGGCTTTAGACACCCTCCTCAGAGCTACAAAAATCGCTCCACAGGGACTACCCAGCTGTCACCGCGAGAACGTCGGGGCAGGAAGGAGCATCTCTAATAAAAAATCAAATGTGGGGCAGGTGTGCTCAGGGTCACACTAGAGGGGAACTCAGGTTTCTAAAACAAAAATCGGTAAGCAGTAGCAGCAAAGGAGAACCAGGTCGCAGGGCGCGGTGCGCTAACTCTTAGTGCCACCCCGACGCCACCCCACCGAACGGGCTTCTGTCCAACTCTACTCCGTCCTTACATACAAACCGGCTGTTTCTAGTTTTCCTTTTTTCTGTCTTCACTAAAGTATTTGGAAATGGATACAGGCAAAAAAATGATACAAACAGGTATTTCTCGTGAGCTATGTCACCTACCAAAATGTCGAACTAAAAACACCCAGCTTGTGCCGTTTTCATACGGCACTACGTGTGTATCATGCAAACTGCCAGGACTTTTTTCCTTGTGGAAATTACAGTGTGAAAACAGTCCCTCAACCGCAAACAGGAGGCAAAATCCTTCCACCTGCTTCGGGAGGCTTTCCCGCAACTTGAAATTGTGTCCGTAAGGAGAGGGAGCAAGGCCTCTGCAGAACTGGAGTCAAACAGAAAACGGTATACGGTGCTCGTGGCTCAGAGGCAGCGAGGGGCTGGGGTTTGAAAACCCTATTCGATTCTTTTTTTCCCTATTTTATTTAATTTTTTTTTCGAAGTGCACTCGATCCTTTTTAGTGTTACTCACGTCGCCTTGTATAAGAAGTTTGCCCATCTTTGGCCTCTGAGACAAAGATGCTGTATGTTTATCTTATTATCCCTGAAATAGTCCTCAAAGGACAGTGACAAGGAAACACTGCCCACCCTCCTTTCGGGGCACGAAAGCAGTCAGGGGGCTGAGCAAGGAGCTCTGAGCAAACCACGCCCATCACGGTCTGACCACCAGCTCCCGTCACCCCAGGAGCTGCGGCAGGTGAAGACGCACGCGGAAAATCGCCCAGAGCAGAAAGGACTTCCTTCCAGGACGGCAGGAGGCAGGTGAGGGCGGGCATCGTGTCATTAAGCCCATTTTATCATTCAGTTTCACGCTTCACCCCACAGGCACCTGACGGGAACGCAAGATTCCAGAACCCCGCATTCCTCTGAAGTCCAGTGACGCCAGAGCCACGTGGGCTTGGCCTCTCGTCAGGCGTTGACTCGAGCACCCCCTTCTCAGGGAGCACACCCTGGCTCGCCCCCCGACTCTCCAGCGCCCCTCCTCAGCCTTCCCCGCTCTTCCCCAGGGCACTAAGTGCAGCCCACAAGTTGTGTATAACGTTCACGGCCAACCTCTCACCACGAGATGACGTGGGCCTGACGCCACTGTCTCCCGGGGCTGTGGGGAGGTCTGCCAGGCCTCCTACCAGGAAGGATGTCAGACTTTGCCTGGCAGACAGAACTGCTCCAGGAAGCATTCGCGGGAAACGTCTGTGATTCAACAGGTGGGTGGGTGTGAATCCTGAGCTAAGGAAGAAGAGCAGCGGGGAAGCGGTGGTGGCCCGGGGAGGGGGGGAGGGGGCGGCAGATGACCACACGCCATGTCTCCTCTGGGTCACTCCAGGTCCACGTCCGTCAGGATGAGGCCAAACTCCCGGCGGCACCTCCGCCCAGCACACCCGGCTCCACGCGCACGCACCTGGCTGCACCCTGACAGGCCAGCGCTTCCAATCTCCTGTGTGTCTCCGGAACAGCCCCTCCTCGGGCTTCGGCAAGCTCGCCCGCGGCCCTAACTGCGCGACGTCTTGTCCCCACACAGAGACATCCCGCCCGCTCCCAGCCCGCTTCCGCACAGCCCCACGGCCACAGGCTGCCACTGGCTGCCCGCACAACTCTCCCCCTCGGGCCCGAAAGCCCCCCGGGGACGGAGGCGGGCCGCCTGCACCCTTTCGTGCCCGGTGCCTGGCATCCCTGGACACCATGGTGTCTTTTCTTAATTTACATATTTGTTTTTTTTTTAATTGAAGTATTGTCGGTTTACAATTGTGTTAGTTTCTGGTGTACAGCATAGTGATTCAGTGATACACACACATGTATGCATTCTTTCTCATACTCTTTTTCATTGCAGGTTATTACAAGGTATTGAGTATAGCTCCCTGTGCTCTAAGTAGGACCTTGCTGTTTATCTATTTCATACACAGTAGTTAGCATCTGAAAATCCCAAACTCCTAATTTATATCTCCACCCACCTCTTACCCACCCCCGGTAGCAGTAAGTTTGTTTTCTGTGTCTGTGAGTCTGTTTCTGTTTTGTAAATACGTTCTTTTGTATCATTTTTTTTCTTTTGGATTCCACCTACGAGCGATCTCATATGGTGTTTGTCTTTCTCTATCTGACTTACTTCATTTAGTATGACGATCTCCAGGTCCATCTATGTTCCTGCAAATGGCATTATTTCATTCTTTTTTGTGGCTGAGTAGTATTCCATTGTATAAATATACCACAGCTCCTTTATCCAGTCTTCTGTCAATGGACATTTAGGTTGCTTCCATGTCTTGGCTCTTGTAAATAGTGCTGCTGTGAACACTGGGGTGCAGGTGTCTTTTCAAATTACAGTTTCCTCTGGATAAATGCCCAGGAGTGGGACTGCTGGACCATACAGATGTCTTTTCACTGTCGGAGCAACACGGATTTACAGCAGTTCTCAGCAGACAACGCATTAAGCAGGATGCAGACACCCCGCTTTCCCATGGGAGGGGGCGAGCACCACATCCCCAATCCCCTAGCCCCCGTCCCTGCGTCTCCAGCCCCCTGAGATCAACACGAGTGCTACTTCCAAAGGCCACAGCACTTCTCTCAATTTCCTTCATCTTTCTTCCTGTTAAAATTATTCTCAGAGAACATCCCTGAGGCATGTTGGGTTTGTGTCTCTGTGTGCCTTGACAACTGTCACCGTTCTCCAGCGCCCACGTCCGTCGAC